TGAGTAATTTTTCTGCTAGGTAGTTTATCTCTGGAGTGTGAACGCTGTGTTATTCTCCAGGCTGTGCATTTGTATGGGAAAATCACGTATGCATTTGGCCATGGAGTCGCTTAGCATTACTGAACTGGCCCTGGTGAAGCAGGGCTATCATGAGCAAGAACTCATCTTCAGTACCTTTGTGTCCCCAGTGAGTCTCCAGACTCATAAACTCAACTGGAAATGCTGATTTTGTCCAACTTTGCTTCTGATCACTTGGGATGGGAAGCCCTGGTTTAGCCTGAGGTTCACTCAACAGATTCTCAGAAACTTCTTGATGCCTCTACTCCGAGTTTCCCGAGTCTAGGGAAACAATGACCCAATGCTTTGAATTTGTTGCTGGATTTCCTAATGAAAAGAAGCAGGTTCCAGAGACATCTGCAACTGCCAGCTTGGCAGTGTTCCCCGTGCTCCATCATCACCAGGCTCCGTGGGGGTTCTTCACCCCCAAAATACAGTGGATAATGGGAAAGTGCTCAGAGAGGGAATAAGAGAATATGGCAGAGAAGAGCAAATCCCATCGGTGACTTTTCAACATGCTCCAGAGAGTTTCCAGGCTTATCATCCAATTGAAATTCCCCTGATGGAGAACAGCCTCCCAGGGCTGGGTGTCACCTGCTCTTGAGCAGAGATGGCCCGTGGCAGGGCTGGTGGCCCCGTGGAAGGAGGGGAGGCGGCTGCAGCCCTGCTGGGTGGCAGGAGCTCGGACCAGGCTGTGCGCACTGCATCTGTGCCGGGGAAAAATCCTTCATAGTGAATTAGCAGAGTTTGCTCCAATCCAGTGCTCAAATTCTTCTAATTTCTGTCAAATCAGGCAGCCCTTTTAAACTTCACTGGATAACGCTGTGAACGCTGGTCTGTATCTGCTAACGAAAAAAAATAACACCGAGGCACGGGATTCTGCGAGTCTTGAGCAGGGACCTGGAGCCGCAGGCGGATTACTACGACAGGTACCCCATTTGATGATAATGGCTGAATTAGCATTTCACTCTTCACCAAAGTCTAAGCTATCTCTACAGGAACAGCTGCTAAACTATTTGCAAAGTTCAAAGAGTACGTATTAATATTTTTTTTCCCCTGAGTCACATTCTTCAGATTCCCATGTAAGCTTCTTAGAAAGGGCCACGCCAGCTGTTGAAGAATGAAGATTACAACGTCCTGCTAATGCAGCGCTGGAGATATTTAAAGGTATTGTTATTTATTACTCTTACGCACGCATGGCCACACTGGAAGGGGTTAAAATGGGGAAGAAAACGGCGCTTTGCCGAACAGGTGTCCTTGAGCAGTACCCAAGGACACGGAGATTGCTAATCCTGTATTCCACAGCATGATCAAATCACCAGGCAACAGATATAAATAAAAAAAGGCAGGAAATAAGGAAATTTAGATACAAGTGTGTCAGAGGGAAAATGAAGATTCATTGTGAAGAGGCTGAGAAGAGAAGAAGGAACAAAATGACAAAGGCACAAATGATAAACCAGTAAGAATGAAAGAAAGGGGGGGTGGAAAAAAAGCCTCTCTGTGAAATACAGGTCTGTGACAGCAGCAGCCAAATCAAAGACGCTCCTAGATTATATGGTTTCTTGCATAATATGTGTTCTGGTTCCTGCTTGGTGTTTGTCTTTCAGCTGGTGCACAGGGAAAAAATCGTATCTGAAATGGGACGTGAGCAACCTTTATTTTGCTTGTTTCATCAGGAGGAGAAAGCAAATTTGCTTTGTGGGAGCAGCAGCACCTGCTCAATGGCAAATAAATAGCTACAGCTTTGATATTACAGTGCATATAATCATTAGCAGCACAAATGGCAGAGCATTAACCCTCCGCATGCTGGCCCAAGCTACCTGGCAAAGGGGTGGCATCTCGCTTCTGCCTCAGAAATGCTCCACGTAGCGTCCGCGGGGCGAGTGCAGCTGGAGCGGGGCTGGCACAGGACCACCCTTCCTAGCCCGAGGCACGGGCTGTGCTGCACCCGCAGCATGGCTACAAGCCACCGGCACTGGGCTTTCCTCATCCCTTTGGCACTGGCACGGCGGCCACCCCACGCTCTACATAAGTCCTCTGTGCATGATGAAGCTAAGAGGGATGGATGGACACGTCTGCAGGCACAGCGGGGCATGGGTCAGGGGATGCTGGCACGTGGTGGGGGATCACAAGTCCAAAATGCCTTGGCTGAGGTTGGGTTTATCGGCCAGCTTGCTTTGAACCCCCTCCCTGGTTGCTCTCTGCCTGTTCTGCCTGCTGTTCTCCCACAAGGCAGGAATCAAAACACACCCAGGGCTGGGGAAATGCTGCACCCATCGGAAAGTGGAAAATAAGGTTCATAATCCTCTTCTGAAGCAGCAACTAACAGTGACATAAACAACTGCTTAATAACTGCATGGTGGGGCTCTCTGAAGATGCGATGCCCCAGACCCACCCTGAACATCTCAGGCTGTGAGGGATCCCAGCCCAAAATCACATCCTCCAGCCTCAAATCCACCCTCTTTTCCCATGCCAGGAAGAGGGGAAGCTTTCTTTAACTAAAACCTTGGTCCTAATTGAGCAAGAATGTCCAGATTTGACCTCTTGCTTGCCTACTTTGCCATTCCTGTGTTGGCTTTTCCCCAGGCTGTCTTCTGCACTGCTTTCTGCAGTGAGGATATGAAGACATTCAAAACCACCATTGTCACTAGAGCTAGAAGCAGTGCACCGGGTGAAATACTTCCCTTTTCCACCTTTCCACCCCCCCCCAGAGCACGACCCATGTGGCAGTCTGGACTCCCAGGTCGCCGCAGGATTTTGGCCAGTGATGGCATCACCGCGTAGCTGTCCTGCTTGGTCACCGTCCCCTCCGGAGACGTGCCAAGAGAGTGCTTGGCATGGGCTGCTTGCCTTCATCATGAATCTCCTTTTGGGAGAAAGGACCTGCAGGACATCCTAGGCACTTGTTTTCACGTATTAAAGACAATTTGTTAATGCTTTTTTTTTCTTTTTCCTTTTTTCCTTCCATTGCATTGCCTTATGAATCTAAACAAACCTGACTGGGGATGCTGGCAGGGGAAAGCAAACAGGGACTAAATAAACTCTCTTCCAGCCAAACACTTCAAGAGTGAACGTGCCCCATCGCACAAACCAGCAATACAGTGTCAGAGCCAAAGATAAATAGCGTCCCTCCAGCCGGAGTCCCGGGCAGGGAGGTAGCTGTCGTGGGAGAAAAGTATACAGCTGGAGACAAAGCCAGGAAGTTAATATTTAAGCATTCAGACAAGGAACAAATGACTTAATTAAATCAATTACAGAGGGAGAAATGGAGCCACTTAGAAAGTGTGTGTAAAGAGACAGCAGGGCTGCTACTATCTCATAGAAGAGAAGAAGGGAGAGTTAGCAGGGAAGATAAACGGACTGGTCTAATCCCTGCTGTTAATTAAGAGCTGAGCATTTGCAGTGCGCTGAGTCAGGGTCACTCCAGCACTTCCATTATATAAACCACGTTGCAGCCAAGCTCAGTGCTCAATCTACAGAGATACTTGTAACCAGATGGAGTAAGGGAGAGGCAGACCGAGATCTTGGGAGGGATGAAAGCAGGAGAAAGAGGTGACATAGAAGGTTTTCCATGCTCCTGAACCTCCCACACCTTGCACCAATAGCCCAAACCCAGCCCCTGCCCTGCAGCTTCCCGGGCAGCAGGGCTGGGGCCAACCTGCTGCACAAGGAGGGGATCTCCTTCCCTTCTTCAGCACGAGAAATTCCTGCCTGATTGCCCAGCCACCAGTCCAAAGAGAAGAAAAGGGAGGATCATGAAAAGATCAAAGCAACACTTTGCACAGTATGGAGACTCTAAATGGACCAGCAAAAGGGCTTTCATCCCAGAAGATGCCTTCCTCTTATTCCTGACTTGGTGCAGGGTGGACAGCAAGGCTATTTCCTAGCATGACTTCCATTTAAATGACTTTTTTTCCTCCCTGCTGCTCCCTCCCCAAATGTAGCTGCTTCCAATGCTGGCCATGGACACCCAATGGGAGACAGAGCCAGCCTAAGGTTGGCAGCCAGGCTCTAGGAGAAGGGCTCACCGCTCAAGGGGGGATGGTCAGTTAAAGCATATTTGGGTTCAGAGACATATCACACCCACTGTCAGATCTCGCTCTTCCTGATAAAAAGACATACTTGCTATGGAAAGTGTTCCCTGGGGTTTTCTCAATAGGCAACAAGCCATTACAAGCTTTTGTAACTGACTCAGCATCAACAAAACTGTTACAGCAGGACCTAGAAGTCTCCATGTGAAGCAGACTGAAAGTGGTTGACAGCTTTGGGGCAGGAAGGTTTCTTTTGTGAAGCCACTTCAGACATCTCCTTCCTAAGCTTTTAAAGCCTTAACGTTAGATTTCAGGCCAGAGATGTAGAGAGTTAATAGTTTTTAGCTGGTTTGCCATCACTCCTTGTAAGTAAACATGCAAGCACAAACCCATCTCCCATCTAAGGCTGTAAAAACCCCATGTCAGGGAAAGGCCTCTGATGTTTTTGCAAAGTATGATCTTATCAAGAATAATTAGTTGTCATAACAATTTGCTCTTCCCCACGTAACAACAGAGAGTTTTCTAAAAAAGGGGCAGAGGCAAAGCAAGCTCAGCACATCCTTCTACAGCCCCATCCCTGCCCTGCCTGCGACATGTGTCCTCGGGGCATCGGGTGGCAAAGACTTGTGTGCAGGGCACCCCAAGGAGGTGTCCAAGGGCCAGGTCACATCACCACCACACCAGCTCGGGGCTGGGAGCGTGGCATGCAAACCACTCGAGCATTGCTTCGAGTGGCACTGGGCACTTCAGCACCTCTCCTGAAAACAGTCTCCATTTCTGCGCATACACGTCAGCCTGTTTAAGCACCTGGCCACGCTCCTAACGTGCTTGGGAAAACTCTGATGCTCTGTACCATGGAAAAACACATTTCAACAGTTGAAAGAAAAAAAAAAAAAGAGATCAGTAACTCACTTGTTTTTGTTCTTCTCCCAAACTGTCCCACATTGACGCAACAATTTTAGATACGTCTCCGAAGGTAGCGTTGGGGTTTTGCCCTTTGATGGCTGCTTGTGTGTCTCTGAAAAACAGGGCGTAGGCTGACACAGGCTTCTGGGGCTCATTGGGATCCTTCTTTTTCTTCTTCTTTTGGCTTTTGGGCTTTTTGCCCAGGTCTGTTGATGGTCTTTTCTCTCCAGTAACCTGCAAAACCAAGAGATGTCCCTTAGCGGTCAGCTGGGAGTAGTCTGATACGAGTCCCTGCTAGAACTTCTTAGCAAAGGGGATGAGAGAGGGCACAGCAGAGAAGGGCTCCCAGCCCGGTGAGGAGGGCAGCAGCCCTGGGCCCCCAGGAACCTCCAGGATCATTACACAATCTGCTGGTGGGTGCCTGAGTCTGGCTTGGGTGCCTCCTCACAGCCCGGTTCACAGCTTGGGTTTGCCCCTTGCTGCTCTGGTGGTCCCTGCTCCAAAGCTGGGGCTTTCCAGACACTCATCCTCGGTCACCCCCCTTCCCCTTCCTCCTCCCCAGCATCACAAGCTCTCTCTCCTTGATCATCTCCTGAGACCTCTCCAAACACCTTGCTTCCCAGCCAGATCCTTTTAGCAGTCCATGAATTTTTCCAAACTCGACTTCCACATGGTTTCTGATTTCCAGCCCAATAATCCCACTTTGCAAGCTGCTTCTGACTTTTCTCGCCTGCACATGTGCTGGCAGCTCAGCCTCCCTGCTCCGGAGGCAGAAGGGTCGTGAGCACCAACAAAGCAGCACCAGCATCACATTAGCCATCACACCGGGGCCATCCAAAATTTGTTTCACCCTGCTAACAGGTAGGTACCCCTATCCAGGAAAAATATCCAGGAATTAAACTATTTTAATCTTATGCATTAAACGCCTTGCATGCACCACTCACTCTTTACGACCAGGCTGGGTGCAGCCGGATGACTGGGTCTGGCTGTATCCATGCTCGGTCCCCTGTGGGTGGTTGAACCAAGGACACAGACAACAGTAGCTGGACTTTGTGGCTGCTCAGCACGAGACACGGCCACCAGGCTGGGAAGTAAAACAGCAAGGTGGAAACAAGGATGTTTCCAGTGAAGGTAGCACAGAAAGAAGATCCTATGGCTGAGCTTCCACCTGGACACCCTGGGCAGCATGTTGAATGTATGGGACCGCAGAAGCCTCTGTGTGATGGTGTGCAAAGGAAAAGACTCCTGGAAAGTACTTGGACACACACCAAAGCTCTCAATGCATTAACTGTGGTCAGTGAAAGCTCGCACCACAGGGAAGCACCATTATCCTTATTTTATAGTGGAGGAAAAACTAAATACACCGGCGGTTAAACATGACAGAGAATAAAACTGCTGCCAGCTGGCTGCTGCAGTCTGGATCTCTGCATCCCTGAGGGCAAACAGGGCACCAGCACCTTCGCCTGCAGACCCACTGTGCTCAGGCACCAAGTGCTCAGCCACTGCCTGACTTCGGCAGTCCCTACTCTACCAGGTGCATGGGCTAATTATATTACTTAGAAAGTTGACCAGTCTGCCACTTAGAGGTCTAAAAAAAAATAATTAAAAAACCCCAATTGACACAGGTCTAAACACCAAGCTGTTGCGAAAACTGTGCCTCCCGGTGAGCACTGGGAGCAAACGGCCTTTTATCCTGATGGATTTGCTGATTCGATTGTGTGCTTGGAAGCGCCAGGATTTGAGAGGCTTCACTTCAGCTGGCACAGGCCAGGCACGGGGAGAAAAGGGCAGCAGCGCTCCTGTTCTCCGCTCAGCAGCTCTTGACTGGTCATTAAGTTCAGTATCAGCGCAGTGACATTTGTCAAACAGACAGTGACCATTAGTGAATGATCAGAGAGACCAAAAAAATTGCATTTAATTTAAAATTGCCCAATTGGGCTTGAATGGGAGGCCTGGAGGTGAAAGGCCATCTTATTAGGAGAAAAAAAATGCGTGACAGGGCTTCAGCCCATTAGCAAGTGAGATGGTATTTTAACTAACTGTAATCCTGTTTGATTCAGTTAAGTGCCGCGGGGGGACCTGCACTCCTCACAGCTGTTGACCAAGCGAAGGAGCCAGGAACAGGCGCAATGCAACCACAGCCATGACAGCGGTTTTACAGTCGGTCCTGCTTAGGCAGCACCAAAGAGCAAATGGTATTTATGGAAAACAGACACTGCCTGCAAGGCTGCCTGGAGCCATCAGGTCCCAGGAGGGAGCACAGCAGATCAGGACTTTGCCTGGTTTTCCTGGGTTTACCAGCTGTGATGCAGCATGGGATGAGACAACAGCCCGGTCCTGGAGTGCAGAAGATGCTTGAACAACTTAAACCATATTCATGGCTAAAGGCAAGCCCTGGCGAGCCAGTGCCTTGCTGCCCCAGAGCAACTGCATCCATGAAGGCTCGTGCAGTGGGATGCAGTGCGTGGTCACCAGCCCCTGCATGGACCTGCTCTGGAGAGGCAGCAGAAGGTATTGTTTAACACCAGATGTGGACTGGGGCAATTCACTGGTGACAGATGTGATCCCATAAACTGATGGCTTGGTGCCTTCTTAGATGTTGAATTCATGAAGAGCAGGAACCTCATGGATACCATGATTTTAGTAACTAAGGAGAGAGATCACTAATCCAACTGGAATCTGGGCTGTAACTACCTCTCCCTCCCATGCATGTGTATACCCCCCCGAAGCAATGAAGCAGTTAAATGCATCAGTGAGGCTGGGAGACCTCCATAAATCATAAGCTCCCTGGCTCAGAGGACCTGCTGGACCTGAACTACCTGCTGGCACCAGACCCATTTCTTTAACGTGTGACCTTCTTGGTCACAAGATTAATTTCTGCTTGTTAGATGTTGCTTTGATGACTTGTTGCAGAAAGGCCCTTAATGGCCGTAAGAAAAATGACCGATGGGTGAATACAGCAGCTGTGTAGATAGAGAAAGCAAACAGAAACCTGCAGGCCACATCATGGTTCTGCTGCTTTCTTTACACTTACGGTCTCCTTCCTCCATCAAATACATCACTCCTGTTCTACCTGTCTTGCTGGGTAGTTTAAAGGGCAGAAAAATGAGGGGGCATCCTTTAGGATTAGGAAAAATTCAAATCTCTGCAAGTTGTCATAATTTGGACATCTCCAAATTCTTCCTAGCCCCACAGGCATCACTGGCTCAATGACAACAGAAGATCCAACCCCAAAGCTGTGTCCTCCCCAGTGACTCCTGCGGCCCTGGATGGCCGGGAAGAAAACTGGGTGATGCTGAAAGAGGCAGAGAGAGAGAAAACCTGGCGTGTAACTAAGCTGAAACTCATCTTCCGTTAACGTGAAAGATTTCAGCTCCCAGGTAATTGCCTGGAGCTGTCTGACACAGGCTCTGGGAGATGGCAGACCATGGGGTCCAGCGGCACAACCCGTCCCACAGTGTCCCCCAAACGTGGAATCACAGAGTCTGAGAAACTCCATCTATTTTCAGTCATGTGTATCCCTTCTTTTTACAGTTTTTTTCCTCTGAAGCTCAGTTTTTGCATCCACGTGTGCACTCTGCTTTGAAATGTCCCAATCTGAAGTGAAAGTTGCCAATGGATGAAAAACTGCAGGACTGATGAGAATACATTTGCCTGAATTTCCATGGAAAGGGAAAGGTTTTTGCTCAGTCCTAGCATTTTCCTAGTTTTCCAGTCTCCGCACTGTTTGCTGCTCTGGTTATACATTCAAATCCTGTCACAACCATCTATTTTTGTGGGACAACGTTACAACACTAGTGCTTCTGGTGTCATCCTTGGACCAGCACCTTCCAGGAGAAGGTTTTCCATGAAAGGCCTTAATCAAAGTTGCACAGGGAGCCCAGTGATTGACCTGCAGGCATGGAGACCCACTGGGTGTTGAGGCAGCAACCCTGCGATTGCTGGAATTTGCCTTCAGTAAATAAGAGACGGAAGACTCATGGAACACAGCATGTGTTGTTTGCTTTGCTGGTGCATTTTGAGAAAGATGGGCAACAACCAAGATGTCCCTAGGAAATCCTTGGGTTTCTTGATGCCATGCTCAGCAGCAGTTGTGTTGGCTGTAGAGGCAGACTCTGTGCCGCTAACACATTGCTGACTACCTAAAACACTGCCTGAGTAAACAAAAAGGCAGAAGACCCTTCCTCTTTTAATTTCTGGTTTTTTTTCCTTAGCAAGCCATGTCTGGTGAGCTCAGTTAAATCCCACCCTGCGTTATCTTCCTTCCCTGTTTTAGTCTCCTCTACCTGCTACGAGAAATCAAATTCTGCACCCAAGCATTTGCAGAACCTTAACCCTAAACATGCTTTGCTCATCAAAACCCTCATCGGAGGAAACTCTGCAGCTTGATGGACCCGGTAAACCATGGAGAGAAAAGCCCAGCTCTCATTGCCAAACTTGCTGCATGCACAACCCAAACGTGTGCTAGCCTGCCATGCTGTACCTCACCCTGGGTTGGAAACAATCTCCCCATCCTTGCGGAAGTCTCCTACTATATACATGTATTTAAAAAAAAAAAGGCCAAAAGTCTGTGCTCTTATTTAGTGCAATTTATCCCTCACTGAAAAACATCATCTGCCATTTTCTCGCTGTCTGTTAAAACAGGCGTGACTGCACGTACCTTATAATGTGACTCTGTCTCCTCTTCCTGAGTAGAACTGGAGGGAGATGGTGTAGCAGACTTACTTCCCGGGGGTGATGGGGAACCATGGGTAACACCGCTCCGTATCCCCATCTGAGAAATCAGCTGTGACTGGCTGAGAGCGCTCATGGGGCCGGCTAACATCCCAGGGCGATTGATCAGGGGCACTTGACGGTTGGACTCATAGGACGTGGCGTCCGAGTGGACCATCTCCTGGATCTGAGTTAGGAGAATATCACTTTGTAATTAAAAAATGTATTTATTTATTATACTGTCAAATCACTTTAAGACGAACTCTCATTGACTGATTTAAAATTATTCTACACAGCTGGTAAAGTCTTCCTTGTGCCCTCTTCCAAACAAGTCAAGAGCAAGAACTGAGTACCGTGCACCCAGGGCTCTGCTCCTGCCATCGCCCTGCCCACGGGGACTATAGAGAGGTGCTAAATTGTCTTTGTACGTAGGTCTGTGTGTCCAGGAGGTACCCCTGCCTGCCTCAGGGACCAGTGGTGTTGGCACCTACCAGGGGTCTGAAAGAGAAGTTCAGAAATGAGCAATTTTTGGCCAAATCACTGGGAGAAGGGAGAGCATTGCAATGCCCCGGGCATTTCTGGTGCCAAGCCTTGCTGCTGCACACGTGAGGCCATCGCTGAGCACTGGCACGTGTTGTGCCAGGGTATTTGCAGCCCATGGCTGGCAGTCCAGCCCTGGAACATCAGCGATGCAGTGTATGAGCAATACTTGGTGTTGACATTTAGTAATTGCACAGGTGAAAAAATATCTGCTTGTCTTGAGTTTATGAAGGTACCACAACCAACCCTTCTGCATCATCTGTATGGCTGTCGGGTCGCTAGTGCTACTGGGGTTAAACTGAGAAGTAGTAAGCACAAAAGCAGATGGTGGAAGTCCCAGGTCCCCACTCCCACCACGGTGGTCTGCCCAAAGCTGTGACACTACCATCAAGCCAGAGGTTTGTATGTCCCTGAGCCCCAGAAGCTCCAAGCACCACAACATGCCCTGAGACAGACCCCAACGTGTGTGACCAGGCTCTGCTGGTGGCCACCACCTCATTACAACTCCTCCTGGAAATGAATCTTCCAATTTTAAATATTGCAATCAGTTCCAATCCCACTCGAAATGAATGTAGCAGAAAAAAAAAAAAAAAAAAAAAAAAAAAAAAAAAAAGTCCAGACAAGGGCAAGGAAAATTATGGGATGCCTGTTAAGATTTCCCAGTGAGGGAAGGAGCCAGAAGCAATGTACATGTGTGCATGAGTGTAGGTAAGAGATGAGGGAGGAGGCTACATGACAGAGTTGTCCCCCAAAATGAAGAGTTTCCTAATACCTATTTATCTGTTCTCATAATGCAAGAGCGAGGGGACATCTGATGGCACTGAAAGGCAACTAATCACATGCGGCTGCAGGGACGCACGGACACAGCGCAGGCCACCAGCACAAGCGCTGCCTCCTGAGGCTGCTGAGCCCAACGCTCTTGAAAGATTCGAAAGAAAAATGAAACATATATATATGGCTAATAAGAAACATCAAATGCTACATTAGACAAAATAAAAATATCTTGTGGAGCATATATCCCCCCATGTCATGGCATAAACCAAAGTTCGAGTGGTTGGGGCAGGCGGGAGCAGCAACAATCCCCTCTCCTGGCCAAGGAGGGAAGACGAGATGAGATGGGGACAAACCCAGACACGTTGTAGGTGCATGGAAGGTTTTGGAGCTGCCCTGCTGTTTGCTGAGCCAAGACCCCATTTCCAGTTTGTACCATTTTCCCTGAAAAGCCCATTTTCACCCCAGGATCCATCCCTGCCCGGTGAGCCCCAGCAGCAGGGCTTAGCCCCCCTGCAGCCCCCACGGGCAGAGCCAAGCTGCCGCACAGCCTCATCCAGCCACAGAGGCAGCCAGTGGGAGGGAGAGCAAACCCTGCCTGAAACGTTTTCCAGACTTTTTCCCTTTTATATTAATATGATTAATGTTAACATGAGTTTAAAGACCCAGGCTTTATTTATTAACAATCTTAATTTCCGATAAGCCTGCTGAGGTGCAATCTCTCATTACCAGGGGAGGCTTGCCAACTCCATTAGCAGCACATACAGAAAGAAACCCAGGGAAGACCTGCAAGGGCTCGGTAGGCTTCAGAGGAAATAAATCCAAACGCAAAACCAGATTTACTGCTGCAGGTCAGTAATCAAGAGCTTTACACAACACCCAACAGCATGTTCTGCTCTCTTTTGGCTTCTCCATCAGTAGAGGAGTGTGTGTCAGGGGAACAGATTTTCCTAGATCTGCCCTTTTTCTGTATTAATTACAAAGTGCAGGGATTTAACTCGCAGGAAGAAAATAATGTCTTGCATTTCAACAGCACAAGGAGTCTGACCGAGCTGACTTAGGGGCCACGCTGAATTGCTGTCCTCGGCTTTGGTGGTTGCAAGGAAACACCAGCTTACAGCGGCAGCAGGGCTGGCTTTGCTCCGTTGCGGAGCCAAGGAAACTTGCTGCTGCTTGAAGTATGGCAAGTTTTACGTGCCCTTAAAACTTGCCTTCATGCAGAGGTCTGGCCTGTCCCTGCCACGCGCTGCTGCATGGGAAATCCTGGCCAAAAAGACATCGAGGACATGCACGCTGCAGCCAAGCAAGATGGGGATGGACAACGGGCTTGGGCAGCACAGGAGGCATCAGAGAGGCAATTTTTGCATTTGCAATTGAATTTGCAAATGTTGTGGGAATGGCCAGGGGTGAGACAGGCATTGACGGGGAGCCTGAAAGGTGGGGAGACAGGTCAGCACCCATCTGCTGCACGAGCAGCAAGCTCCTTCCCAAATTCCAGTGAAAAAGGTACATTTGTCTTGGATTTTTGTCAGTTTAATCCAGACCTTTCATGTCGGAGAAGATCCGCCAGCTGCTAAAGAAAAGAATAATTTATTGTCCTTATTTTAAATTTAAATGAAGAAAAAGTTTAGACGATGGGTGTTTTAGAAATGGGGAAGGCTATGAAACGTGGCTTAAAAATTTTTAAAATTTAAAATAGCTCGTTCACATTTGCAGCCATGGCAGTCTCTTGAGTAAATACTGTATTAAGACAATTTTTTTGAAACTTTTATTATGTGGCCAATAGACCACAACGGCTCCGTTTATCCATTAAATATGTAATCATACACTTTTTCTTTACAGTGCATGTTATTTATGCATCAGAGCAGAACGAGTCCAGGAGTGCAATTATGGATATGGGACACGTGCTGCAAATGCTTATGAAAATTTGTAGGAAAAAACAGAAACCTGAGCCCTGGCTCAGAGAATCCACGCAGAAGCCTCCTGCTGCCAGCAACCCAACCACAGCCCTCTCTTAAAAAGCGAAGACACTGCATTTTTCCTGGGATATTCCCCCCCACCCAGGATATCTTAGCCCAGAGGCCTTGTCCCAAGCAGCTGCCTATTTCTTTACATCATTAAAAACTGGTGGTTTTACTTAATACCTTTGCTGAATATTGCTGGTTCTGACCCCCTCTCTCACTCTCCCACATCTCCATCTCTTCGCCCCCTGGCCAGGAGGTTTTGCAAAAGGACATGTACAACTATGCTCCTCGCATGCAACCCTGCTGACCACTGTCTGGAAGGGCAGACACTAAATTTCACTAAATTTCTCTCCACTTTCCTTTTTTTTAAAAAAAATGCAGTTTTGGAAGCAACACGCCAGGTTGCCACCTCCCCATAGCTTCTGCCCATGGCTCCCGATGTCCTCAGGATCAGAGAGGGCGAGCAGCGGAAAAGCCAGTTGTGTTCTCCAGATGTAAAATGTTTGGGGTGAAAATGAAGGCAAGCAGCTTGTGTGCAGCCCCAGTGCTTCTTCTGTGGGCTTTGGGGTGATGATGGCCTTTGCTCAAGCTGGGGAAAGGGTTAGTCCTGCAGACACTGAGCTATTTCAAGGGTCTTAGTTGTGCACCCAAAGTAAATGATATCCCCCCCAAGAATGACCCAAGGAAAGAGAGACCCAGGAGCAGGATTCAGAGATGCTCCCCTACAGCAAATGGCCTGATTAGGCAAGTAAATTATGAATGAAATTGCAATGACCGCAAACCAAAGTGAAAGAAGGTAACGAATGCAACGTTCCCCCTGCAAAAGCAAACAACCTCTTCTCCGATGGCCCACCCGTCCTGTGGGATGCAACCCCAGCCACGGGCTCACTGGGGCTGCACCCGCGCCCTTCCCCTCCACAAAGCATTCAGCATCCCCGCAGAGCCCGACGGAAGCACACACGTAATTAAATAACCGCCCTGCAAATGTGACTAGCTCTGTCACCAGGAGGAGCGGCTCCGAGAGCCAGGTCAGATCCTGTCTCCATCCCAGGCATTCAGTGCAACAAGCTTGCCACGAGGTGCTGCAAAAGGCTCGGGACGTGTTTGCAGCCTCCACTGAAAAGATGTTTTGCATCTCAGAGGAAACATGAGTGAAATGTGATGTAGTCATAGCTAAAGTAATTAAGTGCATCTTACTTAGCAGATTCCCAAAGGCTGTGCTAACTCAAAGACAGCTTTTTTTTTCCACAATATTTCAATTTTTTTAATGAATATGCATATCAGGCCTATAAATGCTCCAGCTAATCCTAACAAGGAGAGAAAAATAGGCTGACAAACGGCACGTGCTCCATGCTCCTTGTTTCTGGGGAGAAGGGTAATCCAGTACGAGTGACAAAACACTATGAGGAAGAGCCTGGCTGGGGACCTGGGCGCTCTGCTAGCAAAGATAATGTTTTGAAATGTGGTGAGTCGATCTTCAACTCAACTGCCCCCTGAAATTCATATGTAAAAGGCAGCTCTTTCCAGCAATAAGGGCTAGAGCACTAGCCAGCAGACCAGCTTGCCATACAGCACTGGCTGACCCCCGCTGCACCGCAGCCCCCTGAGCTAAAGTGGAGCTGTGTAAAGCGGGACGTGCAGAAGACAATGGCCAAGACCAGTGGGAGCGGGCAGACGGCACAGCCCCAGCCCAGGGACATTGCTCCATGAGCCGGGGAGACCAGCACATGGGGAACACCACGCTTCCTGCCAGGCTTCCCTGCGGAGAAGGACTTGGGGGTACTGGTGGATGAAAAGTTGGACATGAGCCAGCAATGTGCGCTCGCAGCCCAGAAGGCCAACCGTATCCTGGGCTGCATCAAAAGAAGCGTGGCCAGCAGGGCGAGGGAGGGGATTCTGCCCCTCTGCTCCG